TCATCTTTCTTTCCTCTTCCCTTCTCTCCTCTTCTTTCTGTTTTTCTAACAGCCTCTTCCTCTCCATCTCTGCCTCTTTCTCCTGCTGGATTTTCCTCTCCTGTTCCCTTCTTTTTCTCTCTTCATCCTCCTCCTGTTTCAGCTTTAGCTCTTTATCTCTCTCTTGCGCTTCTTTTAGTCTCTGTCTTTCTCTTTCCTTCCTCAGTCTCTCCTCTTCCTTTAGCCTCTCCCTTTCCTTCTCCTCCATCTCTTGTTTAATTTGCTCCTCTTTTTGCCTTGCCCTCTCCTCTTCCTTAAGCCTGAGCTCTTCCCTCTGTCTTTCCCTTTCTTTTTCCTTCTCTTCTTCCACTCTTTTCTGCTCCTGTTCTAGCTGAAGCCTTGCTTGTTCCTTCTCCTCTGCTCGCCGCTGTTCTTCAAATTTCAGATGTTTCAGTCTTTCTTCTTCTTGCTGTTGACTCTCATCATGTTTTTTCTGAAAAATTCCTACTCTTTTATAGACAGGCACTAAATCAGGGACTTTCTTTTCAGCTGTAACTCCAGGACTCTCCTCCTCCTCTTCTTCTTCTTCTCCTTCTTCTTCTTCTTCTTCTCCTCCTTCTTCTTCTTCTTCTCCTTCTCCTTCTTCTTCAGTGTCAGAATCAGAATCCGAGCCTAGGATCAGTGGAGGCCCACCATCATCACTCTGCACGGTGCCAAAGCGAACAGAGCGACGTTTGACATTGTCCCTCTTTGGTACATCTTCACTCAGGTTAGGGGTGTGCAACTGGACGTCAACCTCTGTTGATTTGTTCGCCTCTTGTGGGCTCTCTGCAGCACTTTCCGATGATTTCTTTTCAGTTCGAACACCTTTTAGCATTTCTGTTGGGGACTTTGTTGGTTGTTCAACAGGAGAGACCTTTGACGGGGCGTCCACAGTCGGACTCTGCGGCATTTCTTCGGCAGAAAGTCTGAGATTTGAAGTTTTTGGTGTTTTCACTTCTGTTGGAGAAGTTGCGGGCTCAAAGCTGTGGAGGAGAGAGCAATCATAGCTTTTCATTGTGAACAACAGAGTTTTAATGACGTTTTGTTCTTGTTTTGTTTTGGGGGCTTTTTGTTCTCAACATTCAAGAGTCACTGAGCTGATAGCTAGGTGTCCTGTTACATATAGCAGTCATTTTGTAGGCAGATAAAAAACAGCAAACCCTGCTCTAATGTGATTGGTCTATACCACATGACTACAAACACAAACAAGAAAACTTCTGGTAGGTTGTTTCTAGAGATTAACATGAAAGTAACAGACAACAACTAGACCTAGACCTACAACAGAAGATTGACACCACCCTGTGTGTACGTCTGTCTGTACATTAAATACAAAGCAAATGTTTAGCTTAGTGTAGCGCTGGGGGAAACGGCCTATTTGCACCCTGGAAGTTCGCGAAATAACACCTTGCGCGTCGCTTTTAACCAACACAAAAAGTCAACTTTAAGGTTAACAAAGTTTTACAGAGAGCAGTGGATCTAATGCTTATTCAGACCAGTGACTTCCACGAGTCTTCATTGGTTTGCTGGCAGCCTCATAGGAATCCAGGAAGCATGTGACATATTTATGACACCCAGCATAAGGGCAAAGAGAGGTATATATCTAATCCAGCTGTCAGTGAGAGCATAAATTACCTGGAAATTGTGAGCATTTACTTAAAAGGTCTGATTTCAACATGAGTAAAAAAACAAGGTTTTTACTTATCCACTCAGTGACTGGTCACTTAAATAGTCTTGATGGCATTTCCACACAGTCAGCAGTGCTTCAGAGATAATAATGCGTATTCAGTACATGGAGTAGTAGTTCCACTGAAAACTTCTCACAGTGAAAACTCTCAAAAATATAGTCAAGATGCAGATTTTCTGAAAGATTCATTTCCCTAAATGTTATTTAGGAAACTGTAAGCAAACACACCTAAAATCCCATTAACATCCACTATAGGGAATGGCTAAATACCTGAAGCTATGTGCAGACAGCTGGATGTCTAATCTCAAACCTCACACACTTCGGTAGCTTAGTTTGCTTTCTTATCTAACCTTGGTTATTTAAGGACATAAATCTGGCTGCAACATCGATACTGCAGCAGCATTTTTCATTTACCACGCCCGGATTACTTTCCAAACACACTGAACACGGAGGAGCATCAAGAGAGCAACACTCAAACTTTCCTTCCTCAACAGTTCTAGACTTGCACTCTTGCTACAGCTGCTCACAGAAACCAGAAACTGGGGCCGTGCTTTCTGTCTAAATAAGAAATGCCTGTATGTCCTCTTAAATCCAAACCACTAACATAAAGAAAATCTAAATCAAGAGAAACCACATACAATCACACACCCACATAAAAAGTTTTTTATCCAACATTTGCTCACCCAAATCAACAAATGAATCACATTTAAGGTTAAGGCTTCCTAGACACAAAGTCATAAATCATCTACATCTGACCAACGAAGATAAGCTTTGGGATTTGAACCTGTGCTTGCAAATGAATGCTCACTTCCTTTGCTTTGTGTCTAATCTTGTCACTGCACACAAACTGCAGAGCCTTACTCACCTTCTGGAGCGTGCTCGGGATGTAGCCAGAGGCTTCTTCTCCATCTTTGGACCCTCAGAAGTTGTTTCTGCAGCCCAATTTTTGATGCGCTCCTTCACCCCTCCTATACCGGTTAAGATTTCCGGTTCATCCCTCTTCGGCATGGCCTCCGGCCTCGACGCAGAGTCAAACAGTTGACTGATTCTGTTTTTAATGCTGTTTCCCCCGGTGTAGTCCTCTTTCACTCCACCGTCATCGCTCTCTCTGTTTGAAGGCTCTGGAGATGCCTGCTTCGGCTCTGGCGATGCCTGCTTCGGCTCCGGCGATGTCTGCTTCGGCTCCGGCGATGCCTGCTTCGGCTCCGGCGATGCCTGCTTCGGCTCCGGAGATGCCTGCTTCGGCTCCGGAGATGCCTGCTTCGGCTCCGGAGATGCCTGCTTCGGCTCCGGAGATGCCTGCTTCGGCTCCGGAGATGCCTGCTTCGGCTCCGGCGATGCCTGCTTCGGCTCCGGCGATGCCTGCTTCGGCTCCGGCGATGCCTGCTTCGGCTCCGGCGATGCCTGCTTCGGCTCCGGAGATGCCTGCTTCGGCTCCGGCGATGCCTGCTTCGGCTCCGGAGATGCCTGCTTCGGCTCCGGAGATGCCTGCTTCGGCTCCGGAGATGCCTGCTTCGGCTCCGGAGATGCCTGCTTCGCTGCTCCGGAGATGCCTGCTTCGGCTCCGGAGATGCCTGCTTCTGCTCCGGAGATGCCTGCTTCTGCTCCGGAGATGCCTGCTTCGGCTCCGGAGATGCCTGCTTCGGCTCCGGAGATGCCTGCTTCGGCTCCGGAGATGCCTGCTTCGGCTCCGGAGATGCCTGCTTCGGCTCCGGAGATGCCTGCTTCGGCTCCGGAGATGCCTGCTTCGGCTCCGGAGATGCCTGCTTCGGCTCCGGAGATGCCTGCTTCGGCTCCGGAGATGCCTGCTTCGGCTCCGGAGATGCCTGCTTCGGCTCCGGAGATGCCTGCTTCGGCTCCGGAGATGCCTGCTTCGGCTCCGGAGATGCCTGCTTCGGCTCCGGAGATGCCTGCTTCGGCTCCGGAGATGCCTGCTTCGGCTCCGGCGATGCCTGCTTCGGCTCCGGCGATGCCTGCTTCGGCTCCGGCGATGCCTGCTTCGGCTCCGGAGATGCCTGCTTCGGCTCCGGAGATGCCTGCTTCGGCTCCGGAGATGCCTGCTTCGGCTCCGGAGATGCCTGCTTCGGCTCCGGAGATGCCTGCTTCGGCTCCGGAGATGCCTGCTTCGGCTCCGGAGATGCCTGCTTCGGCTCCGGAGATGCCTGCTTCGGCTCGGAGATGCCTGCTTCTGCTCTGGAGCAGGAGATGCTGGCTTATTTGAATCACGTTTGGTGTTGTGTGTGGAGATAGCTATGGTAGGCTGGGGGGGCAGAGAAAGACCGCCTGACTCAAACTTCGAGGTGAGCTCCATGGACAGACGCTTCCTAGCACCACCCCAACGAAATGTTTCATCGGTTGAAGAGGCTCCATCGCTACCTGAGTGATTCCGCATTTTGACGACAGAAGCTCGAGCTTCATCTTCCTTCGCTTTTCCGTTGTTCTGCTCTGAATTAGTTGCAACATCTCCAGAAGCTTTGTCGTTTGTTTGGATGATGTCTTTCTGGACAAGCTCAGTTTTCTTTGTCTCTTCGGGCCGACTGGTTTGTGAGGCTGTTTTTCCTACACTAGAGTCACGAGTTTCCTCTTTACCTGCTTCACTAGCTTTGCTTGTTGTTGGGTGACTTTTGAGAAGCTCACTTTGAGAGCCTGCTTTGGCATTTGAGGTGACAGCCGGCTGAGATGTTTTTTGAGCTCGAGGGGTCAAAGGCTCTGAGTTTTGAATTTTCGACGTAGCGGGGAGCGTCTTTGGGGCATGAATGGAGCGGATGGTGGTATTCTTCTGCAAAGAGAAGGGCTTGGGAGCGAGGCCAGGTTTGGGGGCCAGCGGTGGCTTGGGTTTCGACATGACCCTAGTCTTGGAAGCCTCGACGGAGCTCTCCATGGCCGAGTTGCTGAAACAGGACGAGTGAAGAACAGAACATGTTTATCCACAGCAAACTCCATATTTTCATTAATGAAAACCCATTTCATACTCAGAACAGAAAAAGCCAGTCGGTTATGTTGTCACAAAGAAGACGGGAATGGTCTGGTTTGTCTAGATTTTTCAAAGTGCATTACTCTACTACAGAAGCAAAGAGAAACTAATCAATCATTCTGAACAAACATCAGCCACTATCAAAAAAAAGTCTTCCTGCCACTGGCTTTCATATTTTTTCCCTCAGGTTTCAGTCTTTGATTTGGTCTTTTGATAACATAAAATGCACTGAACCTTTCCTTGATTGTTTCTCTTTTTCTCCAGCTAAAATTAAAGTAGTTAAATGGTAAGACTCTCACACACAGTGAAGCTCTGACAGCGTGTGATGGCTCATCTTGACTGAGGATGTTTAGTGATACGTAAAATGGGAAACTAAAATTAACTGATTGAGAATGAGCAAGATAAACTGCTCTGAACAGGTCCAAGTGATAACATTTACAAATGTTAAGTATTACACAACGATGAAAGTGCCAAGCATTGAGGGAACACCTGAAAGGAAAAGTAATCAAGATCAAAACAGGCAAGCAGGGAACAGGCCTGGTGAACCGTACCATACATCTATAATACAATCTACAGCTCTGGCACAGTCAAAACCCGGAGCTGGCATTGATCTGAAACCACTAAAAGATAAACAAACTGCAACTGTCCTGAGCAACCTGTCACATGAGCACTTTGACCAACAGAAATGGCCTCCCTCCCTCCCCACTCACAAAAAAAGGGCCAAATTTACACACCGTGTGAAAAAGATAACAGTAATACAATATGTGACCAAATCTGCTACACTAAATACCACAGGCATTGTGTGCAGCATGTCATCTGGTTTGTCCTGTAAGACTAAAACCGGTAACTCCACACCCTGCAGTTTGAAAACTCTCTACACTAACTAGTACAGCTTGAGAAAGAATAGAAAATGCTCATAGAGCATTGTTATCAATCTGCAGCTGGTTTGCATAAACTGTTTAGATTCCAAACAGCAGTTTTCAGTATGTGTGCACTTAGGTATTTTTACATGGGATATGCAATTTACTTTTTTCTTCTTTGCTACACTTCTTAAACACAACACCTTTAGGTGTGCAAGATATTGTGTAATGAGATCAGGTTGGACTACAGCTGTGTGCACCACCCAATGATTTTTTTTAAATTTTGTTTTTAAGTGTCTAGTTTGTTTCTACCCCTCCTCTATTTTCCCAGCAGCTAAATTCCTAAGAAAGAAACACTCTGGAGGAGAGAAGGCTTTCAGCCCTTGCTTTTGTCAGTTATTTTCGATGGTTTCTGCAAAGCTCGGTCTCCTGTAGCACTTTGCTTGCAGGCTTTTAACTTTCTTTATCTCTGTTTGCCTTTAGTGCCCCCGTTGTCGTGTCAAGGCCACACTGGCTGCCTTTAGTTTTTATGTTCAGGTCAATTTATTCTCCCCAGTGATGCTGTGAGAGCGCGCTTACTTCGACGTCAGTTTGGTCTCAAAGAGCCAATCGAAACGACTTCACCAGCTAAACCAGCGTTATATCCCTGTGTTTCATTTCGAGTTGTTAATAAGTTACTAGTAGACGCGTCAATAGTGAACTCCGAGCCGGTGTCCGGCTCTGGGTCCTCTCAAAGTGGACAAAGAAAGGCGATATAAGCGAAATGAAAGAGTGATCCGAGCTTGTGTGTTCTGGACACAGCTCTTAAGTAAGGATGCGAGGACTGATAATGAGGATGTAGGTCAGCCAAATTATTTCACAAAGCTTGGAAAACACCCATTACACTGTCACAAAGGTTGTGCACCTGTCCCTAAACTTACCCCTTCCCATTATTAAGATAACAACATAAGCACTTAGCTTTTTATAAAGTTTTCTTTCAATCTTTTTGCGTGCAAGTGTGTGTTTACCTTTCGTCTTCACGAAGTCATAAAGATGGAAGGGGGGAAGGAAGCGGGAAGAAGATATAAAAGAAAACTGTTCCTCCGTTTCCCGTGATCGTCTCGCCTGCCGAGCTGTTGTCAGACCAAGTGTGTGTGTGTGTGTGTGTACGTGTGTGTGTTTTCAGCTCATTCACACCAACAAGACGTCAGCCAACTCATACACCCAGCAGACACTCCCTCCACCCGCCTCACAGTCCGAGCCACGCTGCCTCCAGCGAAAACACCAGGAGACCGGAAGAAGCGTGTGTGCACTTCAAAATAAAAGTGCATTAACAGGAGTCAGGCCCGGAGAGGTTGTTTGGCTGAAATATATGTTTTTGTTTGAGTATGAAAGCAGAGCTGACAGTAAGAAGTGCTGGTTAAAGTCTTTCACATTTGGATCCACAAAGAAAAAATATTATCGAGTTTTGAAATTATTAAAACCACAAAAATCTTTATGTGACATAATATGCTAACATCATTTTATATTTCACTGCTTTGCAGCCTAATAGCTTATTAAATTAAATTAGTATTAGTATTAAATTAAATAGGCGACATTTTACTAGCCTGTAAAAGGAGCGTCTCGTGAGTTAAATGGGAAATTTCTTTGCTTAAAGCTTCAGTGGAATAATTTTTCGTACTCTATTTTTTCCTTTTAATACTCTGACCTAGTGTTAGCTTCCTGAATGGCTTAAGAATTGTAACAGGTAAGATAAGTTTTAGGACTCTGAGATTTAAGGAACGGGAATAAAACAGCTAGTTTATTGCATTAGCCCAAGGTAAATTCTCAGTTTGAAAAGGTGGACCAGTATCTAGTGCTTGAACATACCTGGAAAATTTTAATAAATAAATAAATGACTTAACTCACTTACCATTAATTGAACGACAGCAAAACCCCTTCCAACTCCTTGTTGTTTTGAAAATTTAGTCCGGAGGTTCTCTGTGAGTTTATCTAACTTGACAGTAGTTTCCTTTTCAGTGGACTGGATTAACAGGTTCTAACTGAGATGAAAAGCCACTTTGCCCAGAGAGAAAAGGAATAAGATCCGTCCAGCTCATACTGCTTCATGGCAGCGAGGGTACCTTGGGTTTTTTAACAGCAGGCATCAGCACTCACACAGTAAACTTGAATTTGCATAACACCTGAGTCTTTACGACATTAATTTGCGTTGCATGCGCCGAGAACAAGAAACAACTCACAAGTGAACTTTGTGCAAATCTGAGAAGAGTGACTTCTTTGAAAACTAAGAAGGCTTTTTAATAATTATTTCAGTGCTAGATGTGTTTATGTGTGTGTTAGTGATGTTTTCGGATGCGGGAACATATCAATACAGAACGGTAAAAATACATTTCATCATCACAGAACCAATCAAAACCAATAAAAGGTACTTCCTTATTAATCAGCAGTGGTGTAAAGATCTCAAAGTAGGATTTTTTAATTTTAGCCTGTGTTAGTTTATACTCATACTCAGCTGCTTTTATCCAACTATAGGTGAACCTATAGGTGATACTTTACAGATTTTTACATTACAGATACTTACAGCGTTTCAATGTTATAACAGTTTTTAATACAAAGCTGCAGTTTAAGAGTACTGATAAGCAAATAATTCATTCTACATGATGGAAATTTATTTTATTTTATTTTATTTTATTTTATTTTATTTTATTTTATTTTATTTTATTTTATTTTATTTTAAGAGCTAATGCATCAGCCACCCCCCCTTGTGGAAGTCTCGGGGAAGTTCCACACTCTCTCCAGTTCACCGGGCTCTAGGCTCGCCAAGCAGGTTGTCATGGCAACTGTACAGCATGCGCTTACAAAAACAAGAGCTTGACCGTTCACCCACAGCTCTTTCGACATTCGACATCCCCGGCGCCATCTTCTTCTTCTTTTTCAAGCCTTTAGATAAGCACTCGTTTAAATAGGAGGGAAGCTGAGGAGAAGGGGGAGGATGAGCGGAGCCAAATCCCGCGGCGACCTGCCTGTTGCTGAAAATGTCACCAGCGGCGGGCACGGCACTGCGGCTCCTCCGCGGGACCGCAAGCCAGGCGGAGGAGTTCTGAAGAGGCTCAAGTCCCGAAGGAGTCAGCAGGTGGACGGCAGGGCCGTCACGGAGGAAGACCTCCGGGCACGGACTGGACACATGACCCCGGAGGACGTGCTGGGACTGCGAGTAGCTACTCGAGGTTTGAGCCTCTGTCTTTGAAACAGCAGATTCAATTTTGACATAAATCTAGAGCAAGCGATACCTTAATAACATGCTGTTCGAGATGGAGAGGAGAAATACATACCTGACAACACAAACAACTGTCACGGCAGTAGCCAGTCTTTCTATTTTTAAGCATCTTAATGGGCACTTGAATTGTATTAAATAGCAGACGTTTTCTATTGTCACA